ACCAGTGTAAAACATGCATGAAGAGGATCCAATTTATAAGCAAGTTGGCTGTAATTAGGTGACTCCAGGTTCTGGGCAGTAACTGACATTTTGAAGTGAGCCCCTGAAACATCTCAAGTCCATCGCCATGTTATAACTTGAAAAAACATGCAAGCACCAACTGCCTGATCATAATTTTCTCCTTTTATCTTCCTTTCAATTGATATCTTGCGTATTCCTTATCCTCATTGATCAGTTTGATCCAGAGGAGAGGTTTGCCTGGAGTCCATGGCTTCACCCTGACACGGCTATGAGATATTTCATCAGCATTGGACACTATGGGGCAATTTAGCATGGCATGCCCACCTAACCTGCACGTCTTTGGACTGTGGGAGGAAACCAGAGCACCCGGTGGAAGCTCCTGCAGATGCGGGGAGAATGTGCAGACTCCACACAGATACAGACCCAGGGCTAGAATCGAACCTGGTACCTTGGCGCTGTGAGGTAGCAGTGCTAACCACTGAGCCACCGTGCCACCCTCTCCTTCCTATGAGGGAAAGGAAATTTACAAGATTCCAGAATCTGAATGTTTAAATAAATTATTTCCAGGACAAGAATAGTCAGAATTAATTGTAAGAATCATTGGCATCTGGGTTGGCAGCAAGGATTTGTTAGCCCGATGCACAGCCTAGAAAATTCACAGGAATAACAACAGAAACACCTGGTTTTAAAAAAAGAGGTCCCTAAGCTCTGGATTTTCACCACTTCTCCTCTTTCAAGGTTCTCCTTAAAACTTGCTTCTCACATCTGCCCTGATCTTTCCCCCTTTGACTTGTGTCAGCCTCCTGTGGTAGCTGTAGTTAAATTTGTGGCTTCTGAATCACATGGTTCTGGGTTCAAGTCCAACTGCAGGCCACAAAAGTCCAAGCTGACTCCAGTCCTGCACTGTCAGAGATACTGTATTACATTTGAGGCATTAAGCCGAGGCCCCCATTTGTCTCTTGGGTACGTAGAAGATCCCACCACATTATTTTGAAGAGAAGGGGAGCTAGCCCCACTGATCCCTCAATCAACATCACAAACAAAACTCTGCTCATTATCATCTTGCCTCTATGTGAATTTACTGAGTGCAAATTGGCTGCTACGTTTCCTACATTACTAGACTAACTACATTTCAAGAAGTACTCCATTGGCTGTAAAGTACTTTGAGACACCTGATAGTCATAAAAAGTGCTGCAAAAATACAAGAAATTTTTCCCAGTGTTGACATTGCGAAGCACTTTGGAATGGTTTTGCTACACGACAGACATTATATTCCTGCAAGTTGTTGTTGAATAGGCAGATTGAGCCATTTATTGTCTCCTCTCTGTTCGAGCCCCATTTACCAACATAAAGGTGAATTTTTTGTAACCCTGTAGCCACATTAATCAGGAGGCCGGGGCAGAGATAGGGTAAATTGGTGTTTCCCCATTCTCCCACCCACAGTCTATTTGAGCAAACCTCCATGTTGCAATTCAGGGAGAGAAACAGCAGGCAAGTGGAAGGAATCTTTTACAAAAGGTCGGAGCATCTAATGTAATAATAAAGGGAATGAGACAAGAAATTGCTCATGCTAAACTTCTACACTAATTTGGTATTGACCAGAAATATGTTCTCCTTGAGACTTGAAAGAATTCACAATCTGATCTCTTTCTTAATATGGTTCCCCTGACACTAATTGCCTTCCAATAAATTTCACTAAGCAGAGTTATTTAATTCTCAAGACTGCTCCATGCTGCTATTGCTAAAACACAGGGTGCTATTTGCTTAATTAAATACTGTCTCACCTAGTGCTGCTACCTTCGGTGCTTTGTACACGTATACACTCAGGTCCCTCTGCTTTTGCACCCACATTAGCATTGTACCCTTTCTATTCTATTCTATCTCTGCTCTTCCTACTAAAATGAATCACTTCACATTTCTCTACATTAAATTTTATCTGTCACTTGTCCTTTCAACTCTATGACTTGCTGATAGAATGAAACAGACCCTTTGGGCCAACTCGTCCAAGCCGGCCAGATATCATAAATTAATCTAGTCTTGTTTGCCAGCATTTGGCCCATATTCCTCGAAACTCTTCTTATTTATATACTCATCCAGATGTCTTTTACATGTTGTAATTGTATCAACCTCCACCACTTTCTGTGGCAGCTCATTGTATACACGCATTACCCTCTGTGTGGAAAAGTTGCCCCTTAAGTCCCTTTTATATCTTTTCCCTCTCACCTTAAAGCTATGCCCTCTAGTTTTGGACTCCCCTACCCTGAGGAAAAGATTTGGCTATTCACCTTATCCATGCCCCTCATGATTTTATAAACCTCTATAAGGTTACCCCTCAGCCTCCAACACTCCAGGGAAAATAGCCTCAGCCTATTCAGCCTCTCCCTTTGGCTCAAACACTCCAATCCTGGCAACACACTCGTAAATCTTTTCTGCATCCTTTCTAATCTGTGTTCTTTCAATGTTTTACACCATCCTGTTTGTGGTTCACAACGCTTTCAAGTTTGTATCACACTGATCCTCACTTGCACATTCCTCCTTGTGAGCCTGACCTGCTGCACAGTCCTCCCAACGTTGGTTAAGTTGTAAACATTGAACAGGATCCTTTGTAGAACTCCCTGCTGCTCTCTGCATTCATACAATCGGATATTTTGCCTACCTAATAAGGAAATGTAGCCCTGAGTTGATATCTGAACAATGGCACTCCAACAGTGCAGCCTCCCCTGGCTGTTGCACTGGCAATATCTGTCTGGATCTTGTCACTGGAGTGCAACTTCAACACTTGATCCTCTGGCTCTGAAACATGAGTATGACTAACTGAGCCACAGCTGATAGACAAGATACAGTGCAGCATGTCCGATCTTGTTTTGAATTGATGTTGATATTATTAACTGTTCTTGTTTTTGTGCGCAGCTGAATCACCAAAATCTTGTTGAGGGACTGGTCCTTATCAACATTGACCCGTGTGCTAAGGGCTGGATGGACTGGGCTGCATCGAAGGTAAGTAGGACTATACCTTTAATTGTTCTACGGGAAATTACTTGCCAATATTTCCTCTCCTTTTCCTAACTGGATTCACAACGGACGCATTTTGCTGAGATTTGATTCCCCTCAACATTAGTTGCCTTCCAATATCTTCACTGTTCAACTCAAGAGCCCTCACATTGAGCCTTAGTGAATTTTGGCGTGCAGAGTGTTGACTAACTATCGAGGTGAGAGGGGCACAGTCCACCCTGACACGGGATGGTCAGGGGATTTCAGATTGTAGCACAGCACTGAATAGTTTCAGCTGAGTACTTGAAAGAATGGCATTTACATGGCCGTGGGGAATAAGCAAGGGCAGTGGGACCAATTGCATAGTATTTTTAATCTACCTATTTTATGACATGCCTCTAGAACAGTTGGGACTGGAACCCAGGCCTCCTGGCCCAGAGATAGCCACACTACCATTGTGTCACGAGAGCCCTATGAGACTAATTACACAGCTCTGACAAATAGGCTACAGGGACATTGGTTACATGTATTGACTGTGTCTGGTTTGTTTAGCCCACTCCTGATTGGTAGTATTTCTTTTTGGAGGTATGCCATGAGGGTCGAATTGGTCCTTGTTGGGATGCATTTATTTCAGTTGAACAGCCTGTCATTTCTGTGCATACTCACAGTATTGGACAGCTCTTAATTGCCCACTGATACTGCCGTCAATACCTATGAGCTTCACAACATGAAGTGGTGATTTCAATAGAAATCTGGGATGAAAAGGATTGGAAATACTTCGGCTCTGGTGGATTGATGAATCTTCTGTTGCTGGTGCCACCTGTTTATTGGAGGAGCTGCATATTTTCTTTCTTGAAGGAATAATCAGCCTCTTATTTGTTTTTCCAGCTTTCAGGATGGACTACTAACCTGGATGATATTGTACTGGCTCATCACTTCAGTAGCGTGAGTTGAAGCTATTTAATGCACTTTGCTGAATGGGACTCCACATCCTGTTCCCTTCAGTCAACTGGCCTTAGTGGATGTTGTTAATGATTCTCTGTCCTCAAAATCTGTCCCCCTGTCTGTCAAATCTGCTCCTATCCAACCCTGGACTCCTCCACTCTTGCAATATGCAACTCCATCACCAACCTCCCTTTTCTGGGTGGGATTGGACAGACTGGGTGCAGAGAGGACGGTTTCCCCTGATTGCGAAGCTTGGAACTGGGGTACACAGAGTCCAGATATGGGATGGACCATTTAGAGCTGTAATGAGGGAACGTTTCTTCACTCGGAAGGTAGTGAACTTGTGGAATTATCTGCCAAGTCACTGGTTATGTACAAGAAAGAGATGGATAAATTTTGAGATCTTAAAGGCATCCAGGGTATGGGGAAAAAGTGGGAGTATGGCATCGAGACAAAGGATCAGCCATAGTTGTACTGAGTAACAGTACAGACTCGAAGGGCCGAATGGCCTCCTCTTGCTCCCAGTTTCTGTTTTTTTTTTCTGCTTCTGTGTAAGCTCCTTGAACATTTCGGCTTCCGAAATTTGTGCCCATCTTTCCTGGAATGGCACAGACAGATTTCCATCTTCCAGTCTCATCAAAGAGACTGTGGTTAAAGTTAAGTAATGCTCCTCGCCTTTTAATGGCCTGTCTGCAGCCTTTGACACAGTTACACCCACCGTCTTTCTCCACTGTCTCTCCATGATCATCTGACTGGGTCAGCGCTCACACCCCTGATTCCAGTTTTATCCTTCCCATCCTGGCTGAGAATCACATGCAATGGCATTCTGTTCCCACACAGTCAGGATTCCGATCCCATTTCTCACTGACATGCAGCCCCCCTTGGCAACACTGTCCAAAAACCACAAAGCTAGTCTGCACGCCGGTGCTGATAACAACCAGCTTTATCTCGCTAACACCTCCTCTGAGCCCCTCCACTGACTTTAAATTAAATAAACGGCTTTGCTGACATTTAGTTCTGGAGCAGCAGAAATAGTCAGTTGAATGTTGCGAAGACTGAAACAATTGTTTTACTACACGTGCAGTTCCCTAGCTCCCAGCTGCATTCCTCCCCTAGCAATCATGAGAGTAAACCCCAAGCAGTCTGCAACTTTGATACAGTCTCTGATCCTGAGAAGAAGTTCTACCCGCCAATCTTTGCCATCATGAAGACAGCCCCATTTTCTTCTCCATAGCATCATCCAGCTGCACCGTGGCTCAGCTCATCTGCTAAAACTCAGTCAATGTCTTTGTCACGTGTAGAAGTGATAACTAGCTAACACTCCAGAAGCTTGAACACCATCCAGGACAAAGCAGCCCGCTTGATTGGCACTACACCCACAAGCATTCACTCCCTCCGCCACTGACGCTCAGTAGCAGCAGTGTGTACTATCTACAAGATGCACTGCAGAAATTCACCAAAGATTGTCAGACAACACCTTCCAAACCCACGACTACTTCCATCTAGAAGGACAAGGGCAGCAGATACATGGGAGGACCACCACTTCCAAGTTCCCCTCCAAGCCACTAGCCATCCTGACTTGGGAATATATCACCGTTCCTTCACTGTTGCTGGGCCAAAATCCTGGAATTCCCTCCCTAAGGGCATTGTGGGTCAACCCACAGCTGGGGGACTGCAGTTGGTCAAGAAGACAGCTCACCACCACCTTCTCAAGGGGCAACTAGGGACGAGCAATAAATGCTGGCCAACCAGTGATGCCCACATTGAACAAATGAATAGAAAAATAATGCTTTCCTGGATGACTTTCCATGGTCTAACCTCCATAAAATTGAGGCTTTTCAGAACTCTGCTTCCATCTCCTGACTCGCTCATCCATTACCCTGCTCTTGCTGACTTATATTGGTTCTGAGTCGAGCAACATTTTGATTATGACACTCTCATCCCTGTATTCAGATTCCTCAATGGCCTCACCTTTCCATTTCTCCTCCAGTCCCACAGCCCTCCACGGTATCCGCGCTCCTCTCATTCTGGCCTCATGTGCATCGGTGATTTTAACAGCTAAGCCTTTGGATGACATGCCTGCAGTTGTCTTGTAATGTTCCCTCTGAGTTGCGCAGCCACTCGGAAGTTGCACACACTCTGATCTGCGTTGTCGAGGCATTGGCTTCCAATTCTAGGAGCTGCTGTTGTGTGGGGACCTTGGAGGTTGGCACAGCAGGAAAAGGTATTGGAGGGACATTGATACCTAGGCTCCAAGCTCAGGAATGTTCACCTAAACCTCTCTGTTCCCCCACCCCTATCCTCTCTTCCACCTTTAAGATACTCTTTGAAACCTACCCACTTTGCTCACCTGACCCAATATGTCCTTGTGCAGCTCAATGTCAAATTTGTTGTGAAGGGATTGGGGATGTTTTGTCATGTTAAAGTTTGCCATGAATGCAAGTTGTTATTGTTGTGTAAATTGAAGTTGTTTACTCACTGTATTAGTTGGGATTACTGCTGCAATCCGATTTATGCTTTCCCCTTAACTCCCTGATTACACATTATGTAATTGTGGACGTTAAATACAGTTATTTTCCCTCAGCATGTTGCAGAGCAAAATAGCTAAGACATTACAGTGAAGCTTTTGGAGATATTGATGAGGCTGTTGCTGTGGTGATGGTGTAGGCATGGTCTGCAAATGTGATAATCTAATTCCCCACACTGTCACCATCAGCAGCAAAATACTTTGAGCCCTGGGAATGAGTTGGGTGCTGGCTCACAGGGAGCGGGGATTTGCTCATGGGAGATTTGGAGCTGACTTAGGGAGGGGTGTTGGCTGAGCGATGCCAGAACTATGTCAGTTACTCATTTGACCTCAGCTAGACTCCTGTGTGCAGTTCTGGTCACTGCATTACGGGAAGGAAATGATCACACAAGAAGATACAGAGGAAATAAGTAGGTTGCCAGCAATGGGAGATTTTAGCTGTGAGGAAAGATTGGATAGTCTGGTGTTGATCTTTTTGAATCAAAGGATCCTAGGGGGATATTTAATGGAGGTGCGTGAAAGTATTAGGAAGTGAATAGACTGAATAAGACATTTTCGTTAGCAGAAAGGTCAATAAACAGGGAAATAGATTTCAAGTTATTTGTAGAATGGTTGGGGAGTCAGGGATCAGTAATTTTTTTCACTGTGGGATACTGGAACTTACTGCCTGAAAGGATGGTGGAGGCAGAAATCCCCATGACATTTTTAAAAAAAACACTTTGACAGACTCTTGAAGTGCTGTATTAAAACTGAAAGGACTGCGGGTGCTGTAAATCGGAAACAAAAACAAAAGTTGCTGGGAAAGCTCAGCAGGTCTGGCAGCATCTGTGAAGAGAAATCAGAGTTAACGTTTCGGGTCCGGTGACCCATGGCAGCCCGGTTCTGAGGAAGGGTCACCGGACCCGAAACGTAAACTCTGGCCTATTTCTATGCTGTAACCGTTCTGTGATTCCCTGTCTCCTCTGCTTACTTTACCTTATTTACTCTATCAAAACATTTCATAACATTGAACACCTCTCCTAAATGTTCCCTTAATCTTCTCTGCTCTGACATTGGACAGTCCCAGCTTCTCCAATGTCTCTTAGGAAGGAGTTTGCAAAAGAAACTCTCAGAAAAATGGTTTCAGGAATGAGGAACTTGAGCTATGAAGATAGATTTGAGAAGTTGGGACTGTTTTCCTTGGACAAAAGAAGACTGAGAAGAAATTTGATTGAGCTGTTACCTTCCTGAGGTACCTGAACAGAGTGGAGAGGGAGAAGCTGTTTCTGCTTGTGAAGGGTGTTCTGTTTCACAAATGTGAGGGAACAGATTTACAGTGATTAGTAAAAGAAGCAGAAGTGACATGAGACATGCTCAAGGACAGTTTTGTGTCAGCCAAACTGCTATGGGTCAGGACCAGGTAAGGATGGCAGGTTCCATTCTTGAAAGGACATTAGTGAACCAGAACATTTTTTATGACAATTAAGAGCATTTACATGTTTGACATTGTGCTCACTTTATACTCCAGATTTTTAATTGAATTCAAATTTCGCCATCTGTCATGTTGGAAATTGAACCCATGTCCCTGGAACATTAATTAAGGTTTCTGGATTGCTAATGTAAGGTTACCATTACATCTACAGTCTGAAACACACTGCCTGAGGGTGTGGCAGAGGGCAAATTGACCTGAAGCGTCCAGAAGAGAATTGGATTGTAATCTGTAAAGGAAGTTGTGTAGGTTTACGGGGAGAAGGCAGGAGAATGGCACAAAGTGGCTCAGTGGTTAGCACTGCAAGCTATATAGTGCCAGGGACCCGGGTTTGATTCCACTCTTTGAGTGTGGAGTTTGTACATTCTCCTCATGCCTGCGTGGGTTTCCTGTGGGTACTCCGGTTTCCTCCCACAGTCCAAAGATGTGCAGGTTAGGAGGATAGGCCATGTTAGATTGCCCATAGTGTCCAGGGATGTGCAGGCTAGGTGGGTTAGCCATGGGAAACGTGGGGTTATGGGGATAGGGTAGGTGGGGTGTTTCTGCTTGGGATGCTGTTTGGAGGGTCAGTATGGACTTGATGGGCTGAATGGCCTGCTTCCACACAGTAGGAATTCTAAAGTGAAATGCTTAATTGGAGAGCTGGTGAGGACACAATGGGCTGAATGGTCATCTTCTACTCTGTCTTAGATTCTGAGATTCTCATAATTGATATTCTTCATTCCTGATAGTGTTCTGATAAATCTCACCCAGCTCAATGCATGGAGTTCCGAATTGGTGCAATTTATTCCAGCTGAGGCTGATGTCTAACAGTACAGCATCACTTCACTTTTGTAAATGAAGTGACTTAAATTAGTCTCAACACAATCCCTAGTGGCATGAATCATTCTGAAGAACTGCTTCTGATTCAGTATCCTATAGAGTTCGTGGGGATTGGTTGCAGTATTGTCTGCTGACGTTTAATGGCAGTGAGAGGCTTAGCAGAAAACCAGCCTGCAGAACTCC